GTGGACTAAGATCGGCAGATATTTGCAATTTTTAACATGGGAATCCTCGAAAAAATCAGCGAGATTGAGAAAGAAATCGCAAGGACCCAGAAAAATAAAGCGACGGAGTACCATTTGGGCTTACTGAAGGCAAAATTGGCAAAATACCGTTCGCAGCTTCTCGAACCGTCGAAATCAGCTGGTGCCGGCAAAGGAGAAGGTTTTGATGTTATGAAATCTGGTGATGCAAGAGTGGCTTTGATCGGGTTTCCTTCTGTTGGAAAATCAACACTATTAAACAAGTTAACGTCCACGTCCAGTGTAAGTGCATCGTACGAGTTTACGACCCTAACTTGTATCCCTGGAGTGATAGAATACAATGGAGCGAACATCCAACTACTCGATTTGCCTGGGATCATTGAAGGTGCCTCTCAAGGGAAGGGTCGGGGTAAACAGGTTATTGCTGTTGCTCGTACTGCTGATATGGTGGTGATGATGTTAGACGCAGCTAAGGGAGAAATCCAGAAAGTTTTACTGGAGAAAGAATTGGAAGATTGTGGCATCCGCTTAAACTGTTACAAGCCAAACATTTACTTCAAAGTTAAAAAGGGAGGTGGGATTTCTTTCAATGCCACATGCAGTTTAACTCACTTGGATGAGAAGCTAGTGCAGATGATTCTTCATGAGTACAAGATCTTCAATGCTGAGGTGCTTATCAGAGAGGATTGCACTGCAGATCAGCTGATTGATGTAATCAGCGGCAACAGAATCTACTTGTCGTGTGTATATGTCTACAACAAGATTGACTGCATTTCCATAGAAGAAGTTGACCGTCTTGCTCGTCTGCCTCACTCTGTTGTTGTAAGTTGTGAGATGGAGCTGAACTTAGACTATCTGTTAGAACAGATGTGGGAGCACCTTGCTTTGCTGAGAGTCTACACAAAGAAGAGAGGTGAGCCCCCCAACTTCAGTGGGGGGCTGATACTGCGACGTGGAGCCAATGTCGAGCATGTATGTCATGCGATTCATAGGACACTTTCTGATGTTTTTAAGTATGCGCTAGTCTGGGGCACCAGTACAAAATATAGTCCACAAAGGGTAGGGATTAATCATGTTATGAATGATGAGGATGTCATTCAGATTATGAAAAAGTAATAACACTTTTAAAGTGGGTGCCCTAAAACAGTAATTAATAGTGCAAAAAAATTTAGACTGCATCCAACTACAAACCAGTTAGTTTAAATTGATAATAATTCGCTTTATTAATCTATTCTGGACCAGCAGTGTGCAAAGAAAGAAGTGTTCGATAGCCAGTGGCTAGTGGGTTTGCAATTGGGTTTCTGAATTCTGTTCTTGACTGCTTAGCGGGCGTGTGAAATTTCGGGGGAATTCAAATAACAGAAGATGTGCTCAATGCTTCAATGCTCATCTTAACCTTTTTTGGTCTAGTTTTTTGCCCAGGTGGCAAGCTGTAAAACTGATCTGCTCTGCACCTGACCAGTGGTTTACCAAAGTGACAAAGTAATTTGATAAAGATCAGAAATAATAAGCAGAGATGTTGTCTTTGACCATAGTCATAGTGTTTGGCAAATACAAATTTCAGCTGTGTCCTGAGTGGTCCTGAATTGAAATCTTTGTATGATTATGTTGTTAATGGGGATCAAGGGGAAATCTTTTATTTAACTGCAATTATTATGGTAGGTTCTTAACCAAGAAAGGCAATGGGTCTCATGAAATTATCAGCAAAAGGGCGAGAGGCATGAAAGTCATAGGGCAAAAAGTGCATCATGTCAGGCTTATTTATTGCTTGTCTTACAAGAATCACTTTTCACTGATCACAATATTTACAGCTATTCGAGAAAGGTTGTCGCAGAAATGTACACGTGACAATCTGCAAAGGTAATATGGGATATGATCAATACCCTGTTCCTGACACTGTAGCTGTTGAATCTTCCATTGTTGCTTTCTTTTAGCATTTGCAACTATACCTCTATGGCCTCCAGTGTCATTCTTTCAATTTTCTTTGAAGAACAGTGAACTCAAAATTACCCACAATACCCTTCAGGATTGTTGCATGTACCTTTTCTCACAACCTTTCTCAAAATAGCTGTATATGCTGTACTCCTGGTCTTTATCAGGTGATGGTGTCAAGCAAGAACAGCAGTATAGTTGGAAACATCTTAAATTAATATTATAGTGACTCATGAGACAACATACACATGCCGCAGTGAATTATTGTAAATGATCTTTCAAAGTAATGCATGATGATTGTTGTTGCCAAATTTTCTTGTGTTATTCTCCTCAAGTCTTGTATAACTCAAAGAAGCATCAAAAAAGGTAATTTTTGTTTCACTTAACTTATGTTACCAATAAAGGATTTATTATAGGTTGTAAATTATTGATATTTCCATCATCAGATCTAAACTGCAGATGCAAAGAAATGAGTGACGCATAGCCCTGGGCTAGTGGATTTTGCTTTCGGGCTAGTGGATTTTGCTTTCGGGCTAGTGGATTCTGTTCTTAACTTGCCTAGCCTCCCACACAGGCGTTTTTAGGGGAGCTCATTTTTCATCGCTCCCCACAAACACCTGCACAACGGAAAACAACATTCCTTTCCCATTGTTTTATTTGCGTGGTAAGCGACCAATCAACAATTGTGCAATAAAGTGTTGACAGGCTAAACACGAATGAACGTGACCCTAGAGTTACCGTTTTCCTTCTTTTCTTTCCTTCACTAAGGTTATGCAGTGCATGGAGTATTCTAAATTTTAACTAAATCTTATTTTTGCCGCTCTTAATGTAACATTTATTAGAGGTCAGAAAGTTTTCCCCGTGTTTAATGCAGATCAAGTAATTATCAGATTACCTTGCGGTCAAGGTCAACTTTCCAGAATGTTGTCTTTGGTTGAGCAGGCGTTTGTGGGGAGGGATGAAAAACGAGCTCCCCTAAAAACGCCTGCATGGGAGGCTATAACTTGCCTGACATGCAAGTCAAATTATCTTTTTTGGCCTAATACTTAATTCTGAATAAGACTGCTGTTAACAGTGACTGAAGTTTTGACATTCAGAGTCAGAGGGAGTTGTATCACTTCAGTTGATGGTATTCAACTTTGGTTTATGACCATTAACTCACAACAGATGCCCAGTAATATCATAAATCAACTGATGTGATACAACTTACTTTGACTCTGAAGATGACTAGTGCACAGGTTGTCAACAACATAATTCCGTCAGCAACAGCCCTATTCAGGACTACACTCGACCGGAAAATCATATCCCACCTTCTTGTGAAATGACCCCTGGGTTCAAACCTCTCACCATATTATTTTAGTTGAGATGTACAAGTACTCTCTAATTGGAAATGTAAGAGCCTTTTTCATAATTTTACCGAGTAAAACTCACTATCTGTAAGCTGATAAATAACAAGCACCTCAGCCAATGAGAATGTGATATTAGTAATTGAATAAAGCAAAGAGCTTTGAATGTATTCAGTGTTCTTGCCAGACTGTGGCCTTGCAGGATATAATATGAAAGAATGGGTTTCATTATAAGGTTAATGGTGCCATGCCAAGGATGCACCAAACCAGACTTTTTTAGGCAGAAGGAACCCTGTTGCTTCCTAGGTCATTGAAAATCCCGGTTAGTAAACTGTAGGTCTTTCTTTCCATGAGTGCCGCAATGTTGTTAAGTTAGAATGGGTGAAAAGGGAGAGTGGAGCCATAGTGGACATTACTTAGTATGCAAAAAGCTCGAATTTTTCCTCCCTTTCCATTTGACAAAATTGTTGTCCCCATTACCTCTCTTTTGTTTTTCATTTCAATCATTTTCAGTTGATTGTAGCGATTATTTTTTTCCTTTCGGCTTCCATTTCCCGCACGAAACCCACTAGTGCACGATATTATAGCTAATTTTCACAAGACAAACTACATAAGGTCTCGGTGAAATAGCTGAAACAAGCCAAAACGTCACGAACTTGCGTGCCCATCTCGTCCCGCAACTAGTGCATAATAGCCTACCTGCGGAATATTAAAATTCTAACATGACTCCGAGGTTTTCTTACCCTGGGTGCCAGAGGTTTTTCATGCGCGATTTCCGGTTTCGGTCAAGTCTTAAAAAGTGACCATTCCGAAGTGTCTTCGGCCTTCGAACAAGTGTCGGCCCATGTGACCGATCGACGAAACGAAGCTCCCTGTCGCACGCGAGAAAAAACCTCTGGTACCCAGGGTAAGGCTTTCTGGTCATTTTTTCTCGGACAAGCCGAAATTTATAATTATCTCTTCCTCGAATTAATTAAAGAATAAATCAAAGAACTCGAAGTGATCTCGGGATATCTCGAACTGATTCCGCCCTCACTTCGCCAAATAGCCGAGTCAAACCGATCGAAAACTCCAGGACTGTGCGTCCCAATCTTGGGACAACTTTGGGACACTCCTTAAGCCTGGTGTTTGACTCAATTCTCGATACCAGCTCTCCTCAACCCTATGATAAACAAGATGGTGGACGAAGCGTCCGCCATATTGCTTTTGATATGTTCGCATGCCATGAGGTCTGGGTGAAAGTGAACTATGATTGGTTTACGGCCTTGTGCTTATGCTTGTGCTTATGTCGACCTAGTTTTCACTAGTCAAAGCTACCACATAAGCTCAAGAACAAGAAGAACGAAATTGTCCGTTTTTCTTATGCTTAATCTTACGCTACCCAGTTTTCACTTGCTTACACATGTGCTTTTGCTTATGCTTATGCTTATGCGCTAGTGAAAACCAGGCTTAAGTGTTGCGAATCCTCTACTTAGCGCTCCGCCCAAGTAATAAAGGCTTGAACGTTCAGATTTTTTATTTGTTTCAAATATCCAGATTTTAGTAGGTATAATCACTTTAGCAAGACGATCATTTAAGCAAATCATAGAAACGAAGTTTTAGTAGCGGCCTCAATAATATGATTACAATTGGCGTTTTTCAAGTTTGAATAGAGTCATTATTGAGATGAGTGTTCAGTAAATTTAGTCAGAGTTTAACGAGAAACAGGACTTTTATTATCGCTTCGCTGGAACAGCAAATAACTCGCTATCGAACATAGACTTTCCAAAAATCACCAGACGACACACTTCTACTATAATCATCGCATTCACAACTGCCTCCTACGTTCATCCAGTGATAAGAGGCTCTTACAAAGGCAACGAGATTGTACAGCCGACTTTCTCTATCCATTCCGTCATGACCCCATTTAGCCACATAGTAAGAGCCTCTTTCATTTCCCCACTTATTACAAAGTCTTGCCAATCTCGAGTTGTCATTGTTCATTATGACAAAAGAGCCACACGAAGCAGGGAAAGCATCTGTAGCACCGCTAAAGAACTGGACGACAGCTTCGCCTTTGGAATTAGCGGCCGTAGTGATGTGGAATGTTCGTCCAGGTCTCTTTTTCTTGCAAAGGAATCTTATCTGAGTGAAAGGCAGGACCTTTCTTAGCTCTTTCATGGCGGTTGTTGTGAGAAAAACTTGTTTGCTGCTTATTCCACGGTATGAATTCTTCACTGGCAGACGAGACGGGGGAGTTGAGCTGCTCAACACAAGTCTTGAGACGAGAAGCCAACCACCTGAAATCACACAAGGTTCCGATTTGTCATGTCAGCCAACAAGCCGGCAATACCGACGGTACCAACACGGAACGCGAAGCGCATCGATTTATATCAAATTTAAAACAACTCCAAGGAATTTAGTAAGTTCTCGAGTAAATAGCCTGCGTAGCTGGCGGTATTGTGTGGGTGCGAGATTAAAGTTTTGGCAGCGGAGCTGTGTTCCAAAAAAAGGAAGTAGGGACGAGGTGGTTGAAATACCCTCGCGGCTTCGCCGCTCGTGACGGCTCCGCCGTCAAATCTCACTCAACTACTACACAATACCGCCAGCTACGCAGGCTATCGAGTAAAATAACGGATTTACACCCCTTTACAAACTGTAATATTGAAGTATTCGAGAACTTTGCCTAGGAAGTAAAGAAAATGTAAGCAAAAATATTGTAGGCCCGAGTTGGTGCCCACTCAAAAACGGTGTACATTGGCCGCATATTAATGTACTGTAAACGACGGTTGGAGTGTCCTGTTCCGATGAAATATCTGTAACAAGTCTTTGAAAACCGGTGTCCTTGGTTTGTTGAAGACCCGGTTTGTGCTTTTCTTCTCCCTAGCCACTTAGGCCGGATGCGAGTCACCCAATACTGGCCGGCCGACCCCACGGACTCAGGCCCAATTAAGCGGCTGCGAAGAAGACTAGGTTTGTGTTGGAGATAAAAGCAAAACTAAAAAAGGATTGCAAATTTGCTTGATTCACAAACTAGATTAGTTTTCTGCATCACTCTCAACGTGAAACCTCATCGACAATTATTGTTAAAGCCAAATTGCATCATGCCCGTATGTTTGTTTGATTGATTTTGTTTTTAATTTATTTGTGACAACGACGCGAAATGTTAGTTGGAATAGCAACCAGTACTCAGTTTAGAAATCTCAAAAGTGACTGTTTACTAGCGCCAGACAAAGGCCACAACGATATTTATTCTTACACTTTAATTGAAATTTTAGGTTTACTTTGACAGATCTGTGAATTGTTTAAACGTTACCTCCGTAAGTTGTCATGTCACAAAACACTTTTAATGGGTTTCCAGTCTTTCCAGGATCAATCCAGTACTCGCCATCTCCTTTGGAGAACCCTAAGTCCCGGATGTCCTTACAGGATTTAGCAGGGTTTTCGCGCGTCCAACCTGGTCCTACAGAAAAAGAAAACAAAACAAAATAACAAAAAGAAAAGAAAGAAAGAAAATAAGAACGGCTTAGGACCGTTTGGACTGCATCTTAGTTTTACAAAGTTAATGCTTCCATTATGTATACCAGAACTAGTGTAGCTGCAATAATTTGAGTACCCAGCATGATTTACAAATACCATTACAAATATCGGTTATTTTGAATAGCTCCCAGAACAGCATATGCTCTCTTACGTTTAATAATAACACACTTGGGTAAATTAAGAGGGGAGGGAAAAGTCAAATTCCAAAACAGCAAACCATAAAACCGTAAGAGCAGCTAATTTACTTTGGTAGTTAAGTCAGGTGTAACCCTGATGTAAACTAAACCCACGCTAAACTAACCACGGCTTTTTTTTTACTGTGGGAAATACCCTTTACCATGGTGCATAACCGCACCTAATGACGGAGACAATAAATGATAATCAGAGAAGGTCAGTGAATATTATAGGAATACCGGTGCATTTCTTTCAATCTCCAGAATATGCAGGTTAGCATGTGCAGTTGTGAGACCTTTGAGTGTTGCTACAAACTGCATTCACATCACAGGTATGGGTTTTGTTTCTGCATTCATCTATATCTAATGACGAGGACAACAAATGATAATAATTCTATAGGGATGCTGCATACCAACTGCAATGCATTTCTTTCCATCTCCTGAGTATCCAGGTTTGCAAGTGCAGTTGTAAGAACCTTGAGTGTTGCTACAATCCGCATTGACATCACAGGTATGGCTTTTGTTGCTGCATTCATCTATATCTGATAACAAAAAATTATAACATGAGCAGTCCGTGCCTCATAGCTAATTAGTTCATGCGTTATGATTCAATTTTTCCTTAGTTTCAATTTGGTTTTGCTTTGTCTTTTGGCGCACTGATGTATGATAATGAGTTTGAAACAACGGAAAATAAAATTTTAATCAAGAAAAAAATGAACTACAACCGCCGGGGGAGTACAGTAAAAGTCAAACTGAAGGCCCAGAAAGAAGCTCTTTTTGTTTATATAATATACCATAAGGAGACTAAATTGTGGCAAGGTGGTATTTTGTTATTTACAGATTTATCTGTGTTCGTTAAAACGAAATTGTGTGCAAAACTAAGCTGGATAAAATGCCCATTACAATTCTTCGCCAGGCTGGTAAAAATCAAGAACGTGAAGGTCACACAGACGCGGAGTTAGTTACAAAAAGCACTCTTTTTTTCCATTTTCAAGAAATCCATCTTTGCAAATGCCAATATGTGAACTCATTAGTAATCTGAAGAGCAGCCTTTGCATCACATCTGTGATAATTACAAGCGCAACTGTCCGTTTCTGCAGTAGATAAAAAAATCACTCATGATCATTACTTGGCTACAATACGATTTTATAAGCATGATCTTATTTTGTAGAGTAGTGGTAGGACACAGTTACTTTCCACTGAAAAATGACCTTAATAATGACGCGATGAGGAAGTAGCTGTGTAACAAGTTACAAACAAGAACCCCTGCAGCCAGGCTAGTCAGCTTCAACTTGATTTCAAATAACCTGCATCTGACCACATAACATTGAAGAAGGCATACATTTTAAGAAAAAACACGCGCACTATATTCTGCAAAAAATTATCAATTGTTATTAAAGATGGTGACGAGTTGGTTTTGAATAATTTCTTAGGTTTAGAACAACTGACAACTTTAAAACCTTCAGCGCAAGTGTAGTTGAAGCATTTGTCACATGACACGTCGTTCCAAGTGTAGCCATCCTTTACACCAAGGGTGTGAACACAGTCTTCGTTTTTCAAGTTGTTTGGTTGTTGCGGAGCCCAGAAATGAAAGCTACTTATTTCCTTGTTTGTCCACTCAAACGATCCCTCGACGCTTCGGTCATTTAAGCCAATCCATGATCGCTCGCCATTGTGACGGTGCTGTATGTACACATTTTCCTCTTGGTTGTGCACTGTTACCAGATGTGAGTTCATCGTTGAACAGTTGGACACAGCAGTCACCCAAGGTGCGCATACAGAGCTTGTTAAATAGCAGTATCCACTGAAGTAATCCCATCCAGCTGGACAGACGTCTATGAGTATAAAGCACGACACTGAGTCACAAACAAGAGACAATATTGGAAGGTCTACCGTAAAAAGATCTTCTCTGTATTGCATTAAATCTCTTACCTGATAAAACTGTGTAGGATATGAAAAGTGGGTCGTATTTTGCCTCATACAGTTCTTTGACACAAACGCGAAACCCTGTCCTGTTAATGTGCTGTACATAAAAAGCAGTGAACATCAGTATGTATATTAGGCCAGATTCAAACATAGATCTTACATTAATTCACATCAGTGCTGCATCTAAACCTGAGTGAGAACAATATAGTTTCCTTATTAGCATCATAAATAAAGCACATGTGACTGAGCTCGACATCTGAAAAGAGGGGCTTTACAGTTCTGAAAGCCGGAATGATTTTACGTGAAAAGGTAGACAGTTCAGAAGATATGCATTGCATAAAACACAGGAGAAATTAAAACCTGATTCACAATTACTTTTTGTTACAATAAGTAATTTCAAGGTAATTTAGCACTGAATTGATCGAGAAACGTTTTTTTGTACCATCAAATCAACCATTAAGAGTAAAGAGTTAAAAAAAAGCGCCCGATACGGAAGTGTTCTGTACTGCTATCAAACTTGATAAGTAATGGCACATAAGCCCTCTATACACATGTAATTTTGCCCCACCTATAACAATATCAAAATAAATGTTCTGCTCTTTTTTTTTTCTTTCAATAATATAATTACTAAGTATTTTCGGTAATTCTTAACAAAACTGACAATCTCACCGAGGTAACAATTTTTGGATTTACGACAATACAGTCAATATACAGCTAGGTTTAATCCCCAAAAGTCGATTTGATATAGATTTTAATATCCTGACATCACTTTGAGCTACCAACCTCCACCCAGGCAGCTATGCTGTTATGAAGTGGACTTCGATTCCCTCCTTTTGTTGAATGAGAAGCAGAAACGAAGACATGTGGCGTTGTGTTATAAGTTCTAACAAAGATAACGTCCTGTGAAAGATGAAGTATTTTATAAAACTTGAAGGAGAAGTGTCCCCAAGATATCGTCCACTTGCAATCAAACTGCCTTTTTTATTTAGAGAATTCTCTGGTAAGAATCTGTAGCACTAAAACGTACTAAACGGTTTACCACTACTATTTACAGTTTCCTCGATTTCAGACGGGTAAGAAGGAAATATACTGAAACCTGAGAATTTCGGTCTAAAGTTTTCATGCAAGTTTCACAAGTTGATTTCGCCTTGCTCCACACAGCAAAGGGGGGATCTTCTTCTTTTCGTGATGATGTTTGAGATAATCGTTAATTAACTGGTTCAGTTCTCTGCAAATGAAAATCTTGGGAACAGAATGCCACATCAACATTAACATCGTCCAGAAAAAAAAACAATTAAATGACGTACGTTTTAATTGCTGAAATACAAAAACAGTCCGAGGAAAGATATTTCGAGGCCAACGTTATTTGGAGGATAGCTAACTCAACTCAGCACAAGAAGCCTATTGTAAAACAGGCTTCATTACAACAACAAAATTGACAACTGACATTGCCATGAAAATGGAGGTTAACGTTTACTTTTTTTCTTTAGCCTCCCGTAATGGAATTATGAATTCAATTGTACGTATCACAGAGGTGAATGAGTTATGAGTGAATATGTGACTTTGGTGTCTTTAGGACCAAAATAAATGGGGTGTTACATTCATCGAAATAAGTCAGTATGCAGTTCATACCGCGGCAGGTTTAGCTCAGTCGGTAGAGCGTTTGACTGCAGAGCGGAAAGTCGCGGGCTCGATTCCCGGGACCGGACCAATACACAGGATCTCAAAATAACTGAAAAATGAAGGTACTGCCTTTGCCCCGCAAATGGCTAGACCTTCCGTAGCTTAGATGACCACGTAAAATGGCGGTACCGTCTTCGGTAGGAGACGTAAAAATAGTGTCCCCAATTAGTACTTTCTTACTAAATACATTGACACTTAAATAAGAGCGCTTTTTCTTTTTCTTTTCTTCCATATCACTGTACATTGCTAAGATTAAAAATCTTCCAAAGCACAAGCAAGACCTGAAAGTAAAATTTGACAGCTCCCTTATTAAAGGATTTAAACTTAGATCTGGATTCAAACTCAAACTTTACTACTGACCTTGCAAAATGAATTATAATGGCTCCTGTCGGGAGGTTTATCATTTGCAAAGTAGATCGAGCTATGTTCCGAAAAGGGAGTGTTGGGAAGATTCGAAAAGGCGAGCCAATTCTAAAATACAAGTCAATAAACAACGCGTAAGTTCTTGTTAATCGAAATAAATCAGTCAAGATAACAATTTAAAAAACAAAGGGTTAGAGGTGAAGGTGAAGAATGTTAAAAAGTAACTTGCGGTTTTTAATAACTTATTCTGAAATGAATTTGCAGAGTTGCTCGAGTCCGCGATAATAGCAGCTCTTCAAGGACTCTGTGGAATTACCGGTAGCTTAAGCCCGAGAGTCAAAGCTTTGGCACTACGTCAAAGCGTGACAGCCCAATGCGTGATTAATGTTTGACACTTGAAATAATGACACACTATACTTACAACAAAAATATCTCGGTGTGATCCAGCATAATTCTGCAGTTCTCTCATACAAACTTTACATGATGATTTCGTTACATCTTCAATCCATACACTAGCAGCGTCACGTTTTAGTCCTGGATTGTAACGCTTTGACGTCACAAAGACTGAAGGTTTGGCTGAAAATTTCCCCTGAGAGCGAAATAACATAAAATCGTCATTCTGCTAAAATGCTTGGCATACTCCGAATTTTAACTTATCATCATCAGTTTCCTTTAATTTTTAGTAACAATTCGAAGCAAGAATATTGATCTCCATAGATTCAGTAAAGTGATTAAAAGTGGCAGTTTGGACGCTAAGTTTTTCTTTGTCGAAAATACATATTAAGTAGACGGGGTTAATTACAAAAAACGGTCACTTTTATTGTTTTGTTAAACTGGATGATGTGATCCTAAACGACTTGAAAAAGAAAGCATCGAGAACTATAGATCAAAGCAACTTACGGTGGGAAATCTCACAGTTGCGCAAGTTGTTCCTGTCCACCACTGTGACATGTGCAGTTCACCAGTCACGCCACCCACTGGAGCACCTTGATATGCCATCCAATCAACTGTCACGTTAGCATACGACTTTCTTTCGTTATATCCTGCTGCCATCACACAGGCAGTAAATCCGTCGTTATTGACATTTTCAATCCACGATACCGCCGCGTCATGGACATAGGATTTAACACTGGTATCAATATGATTGACAGCAATCTGCACTTCAATGGTTTTGTCAGGATAAAACACAAAAGGCTTAAAACGAATTTCTTGACAATGAGAATATCCCAGAGATGGAATATGGGGCATGTGATGGCGACCACGTTGAAATGGAAATCCTAAAAAGAAGTTACAAAGATTAGTTATAGGCTAACAGTAACAAACTTAAGTCCATTGTTGACGCAATAACTTTATTTTAGAAAGAGTGGAAAAGTAAACAAAAACCTAGTGAAAGAAACTTTTACTATTAATCGAAAAATTAGCAGAATTCATTGAAAAAGAAAAACCTTGAAATAAGGTAATAAAGTGGCTGACCTTCACAGCTGCCAGGATGTTGTATGGTAAAGTTTAGTCGATTGAGACAAACTTCCTGTTCAAACAGACATTTGTTGTCGTATGTTGTGCCATTGGATGAACATACGGGTTCTTTGTAAGTTGGACAGCTGTCCAAACACACACAGCGCGCATCATTTGGTCCAAAAGCCTTACACAGACTGTGATAATGACATGTCACATCTATACAAGGATCCAAGTCTAAAAGAAAAACATACAAGTCATGAAATCAGAGGGCAGCATTAAAGGTTCATTCATTTCTGCATTGGATAAATTATCCCGGAATAACCCTGGAATTTCAGATTTACCAGGGCACTGGTTAAACCACAAGAATATTTCCTTAAATGTTGTAGATTGCAACCCATAACCTACTAGCTTTTAATTTCAATTTCTTTCGTTTTTGGGTATAGAAATGACGGTATAATCTGAATGACTTTGGATAAAACTTAGGATTAAAATTTGATCAAAACATAATTATGCACTTAAGCGTTGTGCAGATTTTCACTATTATGTACGTATAATTATTAAAAGAGCACATAAATTCCCTGCTATTCCCTCATTTTATGTTACATAATTTATTGCCTACCTCCAATTACCATATAATCGACTTTCATAACGTCCTTATGATCCCTGGCGTCATTGTTGTAGCTTCTCACACACACTTCTGTTTCGTTTGTAGATGTATGCTACGCACATTCGAAAACAGCGAAAAAAAAACTTTGAGTTCATATTCCACATATATAATATAACACTTTGTTGCAATAGGGTAAATTCAAAGGCTAAAACGTATGTGAATATATAATAAAAGATAACACAATATTAATATAACAATTTTTCTAAACTTTAGTTTCAGCCAACTTGTTCGATTAATTTATTTCAAAAAAATTATGGTTAGTGCAATTGCAGTCAAAACCTAATTGTTAAGAACCTGTGGGACTAATTTTTTTTAGAAATTAGCTTTAAAGAACCAAACGAGTAACCATAAAAAAGTCAGTCTTCATCTGAGAAGTCTGCACAAAAGTTATTGTACAAGTGTTTTCTTTGCTGAGAGCTTGGTTTTATTTAATTTGCCGTATTTATAGTAATTAAAAATGAGAAACTATAAATAGTCTTTATTGTCTGTATATATCACGCTATATAATAGTAAAAACCTCTTAAGCAAATGAAGTTGTTTGAAAAATGTAGGTTTACTTATTATAACGTGAGTAAGGAAAACGATCAAAGGAAATAATTCCTTGACTTTTAATCAAATTCTCCTCATTCGAACCACAGTAAGAATAGGCAGACTACATATTTCTAACCTCAACCCAGGATGTAACTGCGTTGCATGGTTCGAATCCTGATAAACGTGATCTGTTGTTATTGTAACCAAGTCTTGGAGACACCACTACAACTGGAGGGGCATAAAAGACGTCCTGGAACTTAACCATCTGAAATCAGAAAAAAAAACAAATGATATAAATCTCAACTCAAATAGGTAGTTATTTTCCAAGAAAGACAACGTGAACATCCATTTCTGATTTCTTCTTATAACTAACTGCAGGCCGGAAAAATGAGACTTTTTCTTTTGAGAGGATACAATTTATTCAAAGATTTAGTTAATCCTTAATTTGAATGACAAAGACAAGCAGAGGGAACAGGAAAACATGAGCTTTCAGTGCTGAACACTATCAAACATGACACTATACATATACCTGACAAATGGCGTTTTTGTTCCGTTTTTGTAATGGTGAGTTGTTGTTTTTAAACACGAGACTATCAGTCAAGGTAAAATTGTCAGTCTTTAATTTGGTAAAAGCCATCCAGTCCTGCAGGGAAGAGGTAAAGATATCAAGCAAGAATGTGAACTTTCTAAATGCAACATTTGTTCTTACTGTTATTACGCTTTCAAAACAAACTCAAGGGTAACCAACAACAGCACTTAATATTCAACATTTCTCTAACTCTTACAGGGACAAGCAGGGACGCAGGGGGGAAGGGGAGGGAATTGGAAAAACGTTTGAGTCAGAACGTCTTCTCTTTATTAACTGTTCACTTAGCAGACATAATAATTTTTGGCAATGTTTTGTTGCTAAAGGTCAATGTATTTGGTGGACAGCTACTTTTTGAGCACTTTACCGATTGACGTTAATCTTGTTTCAGTGAAAAAAAAATTAAATTAAAAAAAAGAAAAAAAAACGCTGAAGCCTTTCGGAAGCGTCGTTTAGTGTATGCAAAAGTATGGGTTGTGCGGTAAGAGGATAACAAATGGTTAAATGGTAGCTTCTCAAAGTTAATGAGAAATTGTACAAATATTAACGCTCAGACAGGGTTGAAATGTCAAATATGAAAGTTAAATGTGAGCGAAAATGATAATACCATTCCGGCATTTACATGCAACTAATGCAGCCTTGTTGCATTACTTCTTGCGTTATTGTTACAATCTGAATGGCTGTTTATGAAATTTTCAACATTTCATTATATATCAAATTTGTTCCATCTCGTTTAAAGACACTACTGATAACAAAACAAGATGTAGTTGAAGAAATCAAGTAACTGGAATATCACTCACCACTTTGATGTTTTTATGAACTCCATCAAAAATCTTGGTTTCTCTGGCACAAAGTTTAAAGCTGTCCTTGCGCAAGTCTTCTACCCACAAGGCCAAAGCGTCTTGAGGTCTTTTGAGAACCTGGTGACGAGCAGTTACGAAGATGTTTGGAGGAGCCAAGAAACGCTGAAGGGGTGAAAAAAGTGAACAATTAAAATATATCATCCATAAAATATATACATTTTCAATCAACAAAGATAACAATGAAGGGAAGGTAATTATCTTTCTTTGCCAAATGGCAGTAGAAGTGTAAGGGTTAAGCTAGGGCAATAAAGAAAATAGGAAAACAAAACCAAACAAGCAAAAAGATAAATAAAAGAAAACAAACAAGCAAAAATAGTTTGATCTATAGTGCTTTTACAAAAAAAATAGGCCATATCGATAATGGAGTGTAAAACGAAAATCAAAATTTGAGATGAAAACGATTTTAAGTTCATCACATTTGGAAATGAAAATTTAAACAACTTTTGACAAAACCGTATGACACGTAAATAGAGAACTAACAGACTAATAAAAGATGAGAAATTAGTAACTTTGAAGTTCATCTCGTTTAATGGAGTTGCAAGTAGAATTGTTCAGAAACGATACTAGAAGAGAGACGTTTTAATAAAAGAAACAAAGCACTCAGAAGCCAGTAAGGAATAAGAAACCGTGGATATTAGGGACATGTCAAAAAAGTAGTCGACTAGAAGAATCAAAAGTAGTAATAGCAAATTTAGGTTCACAAATAATATAGAGGGAATAAATAGCGGATCACAGCAAATAAAAAAAATTAAGAATTCTTGGGAGAAATGGAGCTGAAATTGTGTATTTTTAAGAATAATCGTGATTGTTAAGTGTTTAAAAAAAATAAGTTGGGTTTTCGGAAAAAGGTGGAAAGGGACTACGAAAAACAAACTATTGGAACTTAAAAATTGAAACTATTGAAGTAGTCGAGGCGCCAGGTTTTTGGCCAATATTTTTACAAAGTTTATACCAAAGCCTAATTTCCTTTCTAATAACTGTTCATTTTATTCCTTTGACAAATTTTACTAAACTTTAGTGATGGAAGTTTGCTATAGCAGCGAGACATGAAACCATCAAAAGCATAAATGCTATTAAGCCTTCTCTAAGCCTTGAAAATGCGCGTTACTTTCTTAATTTCAGGTAAAATAAAATGGAATAGTTCTATAGAAGAAATACTTTTTATCATAGGATACTTCATAAATAAAGCCTTAATTTAAGTTCTAGTGAGACAAATTTGAGCAAAAACTCAATTTTAAGTAAAATCCAACTGTGGCAGCCAATATGGCCGCTACTTTAATGACTGTAAAGCTCCTTAGTTATTTCACTATATAAATATTTATTCATATTTAAATTGTTTTGTTTTCCTCATCCGAAGAGTCTATCAATCAAAGGTTTCATCTCCTCAAAAAATATTGCGAACACGAAAAAATTTACTAAGACAACGTAATGCTAAAAAAAGCATGTCACAACTTCAGCCATAGCAGCAAATACAACGCAGTTAAAAATGCGGAAACTATATGACTCCAGCACTTTTCAGAAATAGACTCATGAAATAATAAATGTTAAGGCAAAAGGTTTTTTAGTTGTTGTCATTGCTTCTCTTTTTGGGGAAAGGGATGTTTTGTGTAGCAAGCAAACCAAATGAAATGAAAAAGAATGAAAAACTGAACTAATCGAACCTTTTCAAAAGCGATCCTTTTGCACGTTGTTCCAGTAGTCCAGGAGTTTAACGAGGCTGTATCCAGTTGAGTGCCAACAGGTTCCGATTGCAGCGCGATCCAGTTCATTTGTGAAGCGCCACTTGAGCCATCTCCGTACTCCAAAACACAGACAGTAAATGCCTTTTTATTCACAGATTCCACCCAAATTGCTGCGCCATTTCCACGAGTAGAACCTTTCGTTGCATGGCTTTTAGAAATGAAGATTTTAATTTCTTGTCTACCGTGAAAAGGCTCCTCAAAAGAAACATTCTTACAGGCAAACAGACTCAAGGTTGTGGTCACATTGAATTTTCCTGCTTTGAAGCTGAGTCCTGTAGTGCACACAAGAACAAACTATTTTTAATAACTAGTACTACTTTACGACTTTATATTCGGTATTATACCTATTAAAACAAATCCTTTTTTATCAAAAATGATTTCTTGTTATAAACTGATTGCTTCCTCCTTCTTGCGAACAATATTTTCGGCTTAAAGCTTACAGTTCTCCATTCATCTTCTATGAAACAGTTCTTAAACTAAAAGTAGCCATTCAATTACCTTCACTTTCTTTATAAATTAGCCCAACTATGAAGAAAATCGAGAAGAAGTGTACACGGAGTTGGTGCTCTGCAGACATCTTGTTTCCAATGATGGAAAATCTACCCTCATCTTCATTATACATTTCGATACACGTGGCAACAACTAAAGTTTAACGCGAAACTTTTGCACGTTGAGCACAATGGACAAAAATCACGTTCCTGAGAGGGTAGCGGTAAGGTGGTTAGGCAGAAGGAAAGAGCTGATAAGTAATACTGTTGAAGTCACTCCGCTGTGGGGTAGACATGTGAGTACATTGACTTCCTTAGGCTACGTAGGTAGGGAAGAGCAAAACATGAAAAAGATGGCGCGTGATTTGAGGATAACCTGAACATTAAAGTAATCGAAGTAGATCGAAACTATGCACGAAATTAACTTTGAGCTTTTAAAAATACAGAAAACACGACACGAATTTAAAGGCTATTAAACTACTGGCAAGACTTGTTTCATTTAGTCACTAAGCAAAATATTTCATAATGTACAGATTTACACACGGCCGAGCTCGGGAGCAAATAATCCCGAGTTGATCTGACTGTCCCATTTCATACATTCAGCACACGTTCAGCCGGGACATAATTGAGCGATTTGACGCTCTATTACATTGGCACGCTTTAGCATGTTTAGTGTAGTACTTGTGATATTTGCATCCCATTTTATTTTTTATGCTATATTGTAGTGATCCCATTATAATAATAACCAATAACCAAGTGTTGTATTCAAATAATCTGAACTAAAGGCATATTTTCTTCTTAGCGATTTGCTATTGCCAGCCAAATATTGATTACCATTCCTTTCGAGTTTCATGTTTCATAATGGAACTTATTGCTTTGCAAATTTTCAGCTCCCTATGATTCGTCCTGGAGTAATAGCACGGTTTATAAGGTTTTCTCTTTTCTCCACATTAAAATTGCGACGATGCTCGCATACTAATTCCCGGCTGAGTAAATTAAAGACAATTTACCATATTTGATTACTTTTTCTATCTGACCGCTCCTGGTATAAAATAATAAATCTTAAAGCTGACTCGGTCTCGATTGATATTTAATCGGTTTCATAACAAAAATCAGCAATTAACAATGAAGTTTCTCTGATGGCTTTAGTGGCGTTTCTCGGCGGCAACATGGCGTCTCCAGAAACACTATGAATAACTCACCTTTGAAAAATCGCGTCGGGCTTGGATCTTCTAACGTTTTGTGATTTACAGACTTTGATTATCTGATTGTATAATTTGAAATACTGAAACGTACATGATAATCGATTAAGTCTACGTCATCATTGCGATACTCGTAAACACGCTGAGACAGTAAACAAAGATGTCTTGAATTTGTGTCCTTTGTCATAATATTCACATACCGATACAGCGGCCCAAGAGGCGCAGTCTTTTGCTTCTCGGAGACGGTTTTAATTCTTGTTTCATTTCAAAGAAAATATGGAGTTTTCCTGGTGCAAAGCGGTGGTTGAAAAAGAATTAATCCATACGGACAAATTGTTAGCTTGAAAATTAAAG